ACCCTTATGTGTAGGATGCCACACTTTGAAATCATAACCCAAAGCAAAGTGGCTTACTGAGCCCAACTGTCATGGCAGGTTCATCAATTTGTATCCCCATGACACTTCAAAACTGTCAGAAAAACTGCTCAGCCTCTTAGCCGCCCCCTCTGGAATCAGTAAACAGCGTCTGGGGAAAACAGTCCAAATATTGGACTCACCTTTTAGGCCTCTCTTCTTCTCTAGATTTTGGCCTGATTTTTCTTCAGTATTTTGTTCTCTGTTTTTTATATTTAATTCTGCTTTTCTACTTGTCCTGAGTGCAGAGGTGGTCCAAATTACCTGACTTGTCATGGCTAGAAGCAGAAGTTCCCATTAGATACTTCTGTTCTCTCTATTCTAGCCCCACAAAGAGTTTATCCAGTATGTAATGTAACTTAGTCCTCTCCCAGATAAAGCTCATTCTTTTTTCATAGTTTTTAATTGTTAGAAAACTTTGTGTTAGGTCTGTCACTCGGTTTTCAAAAGTAGTTCCTGGTTTCATAATAATACCAGTAATCTGTGGCTGTGTAACAAATTATGCCAAAACTTAGCAGCTTAAAACAAAAAACATTTATTATCTCATAGTTTCCATGGGTCAGGAATACCGAAGCAGTTTAGCCAGGTGATTCTGTCTTAAGGTCTCTAATGTAGTTGCAGTCAAGATGTTGGCAAGGGCTGCAATATCACCTGAAGACTTGACTTGTGGGGTGGATCTGCTTTTAAGCTCTTCCTGTGGTTGTTGGGAGGCCTTGGTTCTTTGTTGGCTATTGGGGGAGACTTTAGTTCCTCACCACATAGGTCTCTCCATGGGCTTTTCAGCATGGCAGCTGGCTTCCCCCAGTATGAGTGCATGTGAAAAGAGAGAGCAAGAACACCCAAGATGGAAGATGTTATAACTTAATTTTGGAAGTAACTTGTTTTCACTTCTGCTATATTCTGTTGGTGACAGAGACCAACCCCGTAATGTGGGACGGAACTATATAAGGTTTACCTATAAGGAAATGGAGCTGACTGGGGCCATCTTAGTGGCTGCCTACCACATTAAGACATTCAGAAGGAATTCGATTGCTCTTTCACCTGAAAGCCTTTCAGGTGCTTAAAAAGAGCAGACATGATTCAACTCAGCTTTTCTTCTTCCAGAATAAACAGCCCCAGTACTTACAGTAGTTCCTTGGATGATGTGTTTTATGTCTCTTATTATCCTAATTTGACAAGTTGTATCCATCTTTTTCTGCAGATGTTTTATTGAGGGTAACGTCTAAATTCCAATGGCTTGGGTTTGAATCCAGGCCCCTCCACTTACTAGCAGGGTTCTTTAGGCAAGTCACTTCTCTTTTCCTGGTTTATCTAGTCTGGAAAGTAGAGATAATGTTATTTCCTTCTTCATAGAGTTATTTTGAGGATTAAGTGAGTTAATGCATATAAAGTATTTTCAATAGTGGTCAAAATAATGAATAATGCCCAAAATAATAGCTATTGTTAGTATTGCTGTATTTTTGTCTTTTGTAAATGCATAGTGTTTCTCCAGTCTTTTACCAATACAGTCATACCTTGCTTAATGATGGGGATACATTCTGAGAAATGTGTTCATTAGGTGATTTCATTATTGTGCAAACATCGTAGAGTGTACTTACAAGCCTAGATGGCATAGGCTTTACAAATCTATACAGCATGTTACTGTACTGTAGGCAACTATAACACAATGGTAAATACGTATCTAAACATGTCTAGGCATAGAAAAGGTGCAGTAAAAATACAGTATAAAAGATTTCAAAATGGTACACCTGTATAGAACACTTATCATGAATGGAGCTTGCAGGACTGAAAGTTGCTCAGAATGAGTCAGTGAGTGAGTGGTGAGTGAATGTGAAGGTGTAGGACATTACCGTACTGTTGACCTTGTAAACACTGTACACCTAGGCTGTGCTAAAATATATATTAAAAAACTTTCTTCAGTAATAAATTAGACTTAGCTTACTATAATTTTTTGCTTTATAAACTGAATTTTTAAAAACATTTTAACTTTTATAATAACACAGCTTGAAACAAACACATTGTATACCTGTAGAAAAATATTCTCTTCCTTTATATCCCTATTCTATAAACTTTTTCCTATTTTTAAAATTTTAATGTTTATTTTACTTTTTAACTTTTTTGTTAAGAATGAATACACATACATGCATATTAACCTAGGCCTATACAGGGTCAGGATCATCAGTATCACTCTCTTCTACCTCCACATCTTGTCCCACTGGAAGGTCTTCAGGGGCAGTGACAGTCATGGAGCTGTCATCTTCTGTGATAACAGTGCCTTCTAGTAGAATACTCTTTAAGGAACTGTCTAAAGCTGTTTTACAGTTAACTTTTAAAAAATAAGTAAAAGGAATATACTGTAGAATAAAAATTATAATATATAAACCAGTAACAGCAGTTAATATCATTATCCAGTATGTGTTCTGTACATAATTATACATGCTATACTTTAATAGCACTGGCAGCCCAAATAGGTTTGTTTACACCAGCATCACCACAAACATGTGAGTAATGTATTGTGCTACAGCATTAAAACAGCTATGATGTTACTATAGGAATTTTTCAGCTCCATTATAATTTTATGGGACCACTATCATATATGTGGTCCATTGTTCACCAAAATGTAGTTATGTGGCACATGATTGTACTTTTGCTACTCTCACTTAAACTTAGTCTGATTGCTAGCCTTGGAGTGTGAAGAATTCGTACCCTGTGGTGCTAGTGTAAATTCAAATATAATCTACCTCTTTAGCTTTTCTGTTATATGATTGGAATGAAAAAATAGTACTTTTTTTTTTTTTTTTTTCGTTTTTGAGATTGAGTTACCACGGAGGAAAAGAACATGTGTGTGTTTTACCAGTAGAATGCGTTCTTTGAGTTATCGCTTCCATTTTTAACATTTTATGCTTCCAGTTTATAAACTTTGTTTCCAGTTTGATGAAAAAAATTTAGCTCTTAGAAAGTATTTAAAATCTCAAAAGTATGATATTTTAAAATGTTAGCAGGTTTAAAGATAGCTTAGTTTTTCAACTCTTGCCCAAAATTATATTTGTATACTATAATTTGTGTTAAATTACTTGGTCTTATTTAGCATCCTAATAAGATCTATTTTATGTAATTTGATTCACTTTTTATATTCAATTATGTTAATTGTTTTTGTAATAATACACCTTTCATATTTCTTCAAAGAAAACTAGTGTTGGGTTATTGCTAATTTTGCTTCTTGGTTTGGTTATTTACATATAAGAATTACATTCTTTTAAAAATTGCAAAGTGATGGTTTATTGACAAATCAGCAAGAATTAATGTTGAAATGCAATTTTTTTCCCCTATCCTGAACTAAGTGTGTAGATATCTTTGTTTTCTTTCTTTAATAGATAGCAAACAATAAAGATGCCTTGAGGAAGACATGGAACCCTAAGTTTACGTTGAGAAGTCACTTTGATGGTATCCGAGCCCTTGCTTTCCATCCCATTGAGCCTGTTTTGATAACAGCATCAGAGGATCACACATTAAAAATGTGGAATTTACAGAAAACGGCCCCAGCCAAAAAGTGAGAATATTCTACTTTGACATACTTGAATATTTTAATTAACATTTTCAGCAGAAAACGACATATTTTATTTCTATTAAATTTCCTAAATATTTCTTCTAGTTCTTTCTGCCATGTCATGTAATTTATTGTGTTTTTCTGTTTATACGACCTAATGGTAGGTTAGAAAACTGATGCTTAGGAAGATGTGGTGTTATCTGTTGGTTTCACCAGGGTTTGTGAATACTGATTACCGTCCTTATATATAACAGTATTTTTAAATGGCTGCTATATTTGGGGAGCCCCTTATCTGTACTGAAGGTTTTGACTGTTCCTATAAACAGGTATATGCATCTTTAAAATAATCAAATCTCCACCTCCACCCATTGTTTAGTAGATTAGACTTATGGGGTGGAGCAGAAAAAAGCCTCACTGGGATGAGTGGAGGGTCTTGGTCTTGTCTTTTGGCCTTAAGACTTTATGTACTTTCCATACCCACCAGTATGTCTAGACTCAGAGGCTAACTTAACTGCCGAAGTGCTTGCCTTGGCCCTTTAGTTCTTGTCTAAGTATGGATAGACGTGAGTTAATATAAACCCTTTAAAAGTCACATAGCTAAACCTGATTCTACTTTCTTGTGTCCTTATTGGAGCTCCACTCCTTTGGGTCACATGTCAAAAAAAGAAAAAAAAACAGCATCTGCCAGCAAAGACCCTTTTGCAGTGTTGGGCACTTTGTTATTATAAGAGTCATCACTGAACATCAAACAGAGGAGGTTACAAAAATTTTACTACCAATGGAGGAAATCTGTTGCCTGGTTTAAGAGAGATCAGTGTCATTCATGCTGTGTCATACATAGGGTAGATGAAATACTTGACTTATCAGTCTGCTTCAGATAGCTCAACCAGATATTGCTAAAACAAGATGGACTTTCATATAGATTAGGTGTTTTCAGAAGAGAAAAATAGTTTACTGGCTATACATTGTGAGATAACATGTCTATACATAACTGCAATACAGTGTAGAAATCGGTAAGTACGTGACTTTAAATCCAGTTTCCATCAAAGTCATAGCCAGTATTAGGGTATAGTGTACCTATAATAATGGTGTTCTGAGTAGTGAATAAACTGATAATTTGGACAATCTCTTCAGTATGGAGGATAGACATATTAACCTTACTGAAAAGGCAAGGAAATAGAAGTACCATTTGCTGATATCCTACTATGTGCATGATTGTGTCCTGGGGTGTTTTTTAACTTGTAGAATCCTATTTAATCCTGTGATTATTTGGTGTCATTCCCATTTTTTTGTTTTGTTTTAAACGGAGTAATCTGAAGTTCTGAAACATTAAATAATTTGCTTAAAGTTCGCCAATTAGTGACAGAACTGGAAATTGAGTTCAGAAATTTATCTCTTCAAAGCCCATGTTGTTTCTCTTAATGAAGCTGTCTTTCCCTTTAGTCAAATAGATTATGACAGCGCTAAAAATACTGTAACAAGATATTATTACTAAACAAGAATCTTGTTTCTTGATGCCATGAAAGTATAATTGGTGTTAAGTAAGCTTTCTTATGTATCATATAGTTGAGAATGGTATATTCCATTCCATTCCATAATGTTTGTATTTTTAAAGGCAATTTTATGACATATGTTCAATTATACTGTTTATTACTGAAACTTCGAATGTTAAAGTCATCTCTCTCTGATTTAGGAGCACTTCTCTTGATGTAGAACCTATCTATACATTCAGAGCCCATAAGTAAGTATATGCTTTTTCTTTATTTTAAACCAGTATCTTTGTAAAACAGGCTGGTTAGGATATTTTATTTTCTTTCACTTACTAGGTATTCTTTGTATTTAGGAGTTTTTTTAAATGTAAAAGAATTTGGCAGATAATGTAATGCTAAAACCAAATTCATCACTGCGAAATAGGGATTTGCGCTTAAATTAGATTTTATTTACATGATGTTTAAGTAAGGTACATGTTTATATCTTTAAACTAGAGCCAACTAGGTTTAAATATTAGAAATTCCAACTTTTTTTCCTTATATAACCTGGATTAAAATATTCAAGTACCTGCTTTGGCAGTACCTACCCTACAACTGGAAAGATACAGAGATCAGCAAGGCCTCAGTACAAGGATGACACAGATTCACGAAGGGTTCCATATTTTTCTTTTCTTTTTTTTTTTTTTTTTGAGACGGAGTCTCGCTCTGTTGCCCCACCTGAAAGGCAATGGCGTGATCCAGTAGAGACAAGGTTTTACACTGTTGGCCAGGTGGTCTTGAACTTCTGGGCTTCAACTCTTGACCTCAAGTGATCCGCCCACCTCAGCCTCCCAAAGTGCTGGGATTACAGGCGCCTGGCTGAAGGGTTTTGTATTTTTCTAAATGTGGAAACAAAAGAATACTAGCCTGGCGCGGTGGCTCACACCTTTAATCCCAGCACTTTGGGAGGCCGAGATGGGTGGATCACGAGGTCAAGAGATGGAGACCATCCTGGCCAACATGATGAAACCTTGCCTCTATTAAAAATACAAAAAATTAGCTGGGTGTGGTGGCAGACATCTGTAGTCCCAGCTACTTGGGAGGCTGAGGCAGGAGAATGGCATGAACCCACGAGGCGGAGCTTGCAGTGAACAGAGATCGTGCCACTGCACTCCAGGGTCACAGAGCAAGACTCCGTCTCAAAAAAAAAAAAAGATTACCAGCTACCACAAAAACACAATTGGTTACATAGACCATTGACACTTTATAGCAACTACACAATCAAGTATGTGTAATAACCAGCTAACAACATGATGACAGGATCAAATGGGCACATATCATTGTTAACCTTGAATGTAAAAGGGCTAACTGCCCCAATTAAAAGGCACATAGTGGCAAGTTGAATAAAGAAGCAAGAGCCAGCTGTATTCTATCTTTAAGCAACCCATCTCACATGCAGTAACCCCCATAGACTCAAAGAAAAGGGGTGAAGAGCAATCAACCAAGCAAACGGAAAACAGAAAGAAGCAGGAGTTGCTACTCTAATTTCAGACAAAAAGACTTTAAACCAACAAAGATCAGTAAAGACAAAGAAGGACGTTACATGACAGTAAAGGATTCAATTCAAAAAAAGTCTTAACTATCTTAAATATATATGCACCCAATACAGGAGCACCCAGATTCATAAATTCTTAGAGACTGTCAAAAAGATTTAGATAACTATACAATAATAGTGGGAGACTTTAACACCCCACTGATGTATTAGATCATCAAGGCAGAAAACTAAGATATTCAGGACCTGAACTTGATACTTGACCAAATGGACCTAACATATATCTACAGAACTCTCCACCCCAAAACAACAGAATATACATTCTTCTCATTTGTACATGGCACATATTCTAAAATCAACCACCCTCCTGGCCATTAAACACTTCTCAGCAAATTTAGAAAAACTGAAATCATACCAGCCACACTCTCAGAACAAACACAATAAAAATAAAAGTCAATGGCTGGGTGCAGGGACTCATACTTGTAGTCCCAGCACTTTGGGAAGCTGAGGCAGGCAGATTGCATGAGCTCAGAAGTTCTAGACCAGTCTGGGCAACATGGCAGAACCCCATCTCTACAAAAAATACAAAAATCAGCCACTAGTGGTGATGTGTTCCTGTAGTCCCAGCTCTTCAGGGGGCTGAGGTGGGAGGATCACTTGAGCCCGGGAGGTGGAGTTTGCAGTGAGTCGAGGTCATGCATCTGCACTCCAGCCTGGGCAACAGCAAGCGATAGCCTGTCTCAAATAAATAAATAATAGAAGTCAATACCAAGATGGCTCAGAACCATCCCGTTACATGCAAATTAACCAGCTGTTGAATGACTTATTGGTAAATAATGAAATGAAGGCAAAAATCAAGAAATTCTTTGAAACTAATCAAACCAAAGCTACGACATACCAGAATCTTTGGAAGGCAGCTAAAGCTGTGTTGAGAGGGAATTTTATGGTGCTAAACACCCACATCAAAAACTTAGAAAGATCTCAGCCAGTGCAGTGGCTCACAGCTGTAATTCCAGCACTTTGGGAGGTTGAGGCGGGCAGATCACAAGGTCAGGAGTTTGAGACTAGCCTGGCCAACATGGTGAAACCCCATCTCTACTAAAAATACAAAAATTAGTTGGGTGCGGTGGCATCCATATATGCACCTAGTACAGGTGTAATCCCAGCTACTCAGGAGGCTGAGGCAGGAGAATTGCTTGAACCCAGGAGGCAGAGGTTGCAGTGAGCTGATATCTCGCCACCATACTCCAACCTGGGCAACAGACTGAGACTCCGTCTTAAAAAAAAAAAAAAAAAAAAAAAAAGTTAGATATCAAATTAACAACTTAACATCACACACAAGAGAAAACCAACCCCAAAGCTAGCAGAAGACAAGAAATAACCAAACTCAGAGCTGAACTGAATGAAATTGAGACACAAAAAACTGTATAAAAGATCATTGAAACCAGAAGTTGGTTCTTCGAAAGAATAAGATAGGTAGACCACTAGCTAAACTAATAAAGAAAAAAAGAGAAGATCCAAATAAACACAACCAGAAATGATAAATGTAATTTTACCACCAACCCCACAGAAATACAAAAACCATCCAGAAACTATTATGAACATCTCTGTGCACACAAACTAGAAAACATAGAAGAAATGGATAAATTCCTGGAAACAACATCCCAAGACTAAACCAGGAAGAAATTCTGTGAACAGACCAATAATGAGTTCTGAAATTGGATAGTAATAAAAAGCTTTCCAACAAGAAAAAGCCCAGGTTGAGATGGATTCACAACTGAATTCTACCTAGCGCATAAAGAAGAGCTGGCACCATTCCTACTGAAACTATTCCAGAAAATTGAGGAGGGGCTGGGTGCAGTGACTCACGCCTGTAATCCCAGCACTCTGGGAGGCCAAGGTGGGTGGATCACCTGAAGTCAGGAGTTCGAGACCAACCTGGCCAACATGGTGAAAACCCCATCTCTACTAAAAATACAAAACAATTAGCTGGGCATGGTGGCAGGTGTCTGTAATCCCAGCTACTCGGGAGGCTGAGGCAGGAGAATCACTTGAAACCGGGAGGTGAAGGTTGCCATGAGCCAAGATTGCATCCATTGCATTTCAGCCTGAGTGACAAGAGTTATGAAACTCCATCTCAAAAAAAAAAAAAAATTGAGGAGGGACTTCTTGCTAACTCATTCTGTGAGGCTAGTGTCATCCTGATACCAAAACCTGGCGGAGATACAACAAAAAGGAAAACTTCAGGCCAGTATTCTTGATGAACATAGACGCAGAAATCTTCAACCGAATACTAGCAGGCAGAATCCAACAGCACATCAAAAAGCTAATCCACCACAATCAAGTAGACTTGATCCCTGGGTTGCAAGGTTAGTTCAGTATACACAAATCAATAAATGCAGTTCATCACATGAACAGAACTGAAAACAAAAATCACATGATCATCTCAATAGATGCAGAAAAGGCTTTCAATAAAATTCAGCATTGCTTCATTAACCCTGAAGAAACTAGGCCTTGAAGGAACATACTCCAAAATATTAAGAGCTGTCTATGACAAGCTCACAGCCAACATCACACTGAACAACAAAATCTGGAAGTATTTCGCTTGAGAACTGGAACAAGACAAGGATGCCTACTCTCACCACTCCTATTTAATATAGTACTGGAAGTCCTAGCCAGAGCAGTCAGGCAAGAAAAAGAAAAGGCATCCAAATAGGAAGAAAGACAGTCAAACTATCTTTTTTGCAGACAATGTAATTTTGTACCTAGAAAACGCTATAGTCTCTGCCCAAAAGCTCCTAGATTTGATAAAACAACTTCAGCAAAGTTTCTGGATATAAAATCAACGTATGAAAATCAGTACCATTTCTATATACCAGTAATGCCCAAGCTGAGTACCAAATCAAGAATGCAGTGTCATTCACAGTAGCCACAAAAAAGGTAAAGTACCTAGGAATATTGTTAACCATGGAGGTGAAAGATCTCTACAATGAGAATTACAAAACACTGCTCAAAGAAATCAGAGATGACACAAAGAAATGGAAAAACATTCCATACTCATAAGAAGAATCAATATTGTTAAAATGGCCATACTGCCCAAAGCAATTTACAAATTCAATGCTATTCCTATCAAACTACCAATGACATTCTCACAGAATTAGAAAAAACGTTTAAAATTCATATGGAAACTCAAATAGCCAAGGCAGTTCTAAGCAAAAAGAACAAAGCTGGAGGCATCACATTACTGATTTCAAACTGTACTACAGGGCTATAGTAACCAAAACAGCATGGTACTGGTACAAAAACGGAAACATAGACCAATGAAACAGAATAGAGAGCCCAGAAATAAAGCTGCACACCTACAACTTCAACAAATCTAATCTTCAACAAAGTTGACAAAAACAAGCAATGGGGAAAGGACTCCCTATTCAATAAATGGTGGTGGGACAGATGGCTAGCCATATGCAGAAGATTGAAACTGGACCCCTTCCTTATACCATATACAAAAATTAGTTCAAGATGGATTAAAGACTTAAAGGTAAAACCTAAAACTATAAAAAATGTTGAAGAAAACCTAGGGAATACCATTCTAGACATAGGCCCTGGCAAAGATTTCATGATGAAGGCACCAAAAGCAATTGCAACAATGACAAAAAAAAAAAAAAGACAAATGGGACCTAATTTAACTGACGACCTTCTGCACACGTTAGAAACAGAGTA